TCAAAAAACGTATTTTGCAGGTAAATTTTTTCACGGCGATTATTAAATGCGTAATGATCACAAATATTTAAGTCTTTTACTCACCCTTACCATACACAGTTAAAAAAATCAAGCCTTATCAGAGAGTTGAACTCCGGACCCCTGGTTTACGAGACCAGTGCTCTAACCACTGAGCTAATAAGGCAAACCTGTAAACTTTTGAAAAAGGTAAAATGAATCATCGGCGAAAAATAGTTATTCCTGCCAAGCTAAACTAAAAGGAAAAATATTAGTGTTAAAGTTTGGTCGATCAATTCTGTAGCTTTCACAAACACCGTTACTGAGATTATCTGTAACGATGGAATGGTAATCATACGGTGATATGATAGTTGAAAATGTTACAGTGTTATTTTTGAGTTACAAATTATTCTTGGGTTATGAAAAATGTGCCACGCACTATAAAAAAGTCGCACGAATTCATTTTCCTGATGTTCAGTACTTGTATATGATGATTGACAAGGTCTTCATTGTTGACATGCCTACAACGTCTACATTTATGCATACTAGATCTCCTCCTTGCATGTATATTGATAGGATTGATGCTGCATGGGAAAAGTTTTATCGGGAGATTGCAACTTGAGTTCAACACTGCTTTTTTTCTTAAAAGCTAAGAAAGAAACTCAATCGCGCGCAAAAATTTCAAGTTATGAGGGCAATCAGGGCTTGCACGGGAATCGAACCCGTGACCTCTCGCACCCAAAGCGAGAATCATACCACTAGACCAGCAAGCCACACCTGGGGAAATAGTTCATTATCTTTCGGTGTAATTTTAAAAAAATCCGGTATATTACATGAAAAACTAAGGTTCAAGAGACTTCCGTTAATTCGTGCGGAAAACATCCCATTTTGCTTTTGAAAACAAGCCTATAAAAAAGCAATAATTTCTGAATATAGGTCCCTTTGACAAGAGGTAATTACGTTTTAGTCCAATCACCATGTTTATTTACATTATTTTTTTGTAACCGAATGGGAATGCATAAATTTGCGTTAAAAGGGTATAATATTAACCATTTCACATCAAGTATTAGAAATTTTAACTGCTCTGACTGGTATTTTTTAAAAAATGAAAAAAAATATTATGTCGTATGTTTTCAAACGAAATTCCACCTGATGGCAAACAACTTCTCCGTGTTACATGATCATCTTTCGGACTATTAAGAGTCGTAGTCGGCAGGATTTGAACCTGCGCGGGAATATCCCAACAGATTTCAAGTCTGTCGCCTTAACCACTCGGCCACGACTACATAATTGCTTAGGAGTCGCTTATTTTGCTTTACCACGGATAGCTTGGAACTTACCTGTTTATTTTACCACAGATTTTACGTCGTGGGCACATTAATAGGTTCTCTGGAATTGGTATGCCTTCCAAACTGCTTTTCAATTGCCAGCAGAATTTTGGAATTATAATAAGACTGAGAAAAAAGAAAGGGTCTCGGGGAACTCGCTGTGACGGTTGGCGGAAGCTTTTATCATAGGAATTAATTATTGCATGATAGAAATCAGGCAGTTCACAGGGCGTGTAAATAGATCATGCATCAGTGATTGTTATCACAGCTTCAGCAGCATATCCGAGACAGCAATTAACTGCAATCAATGGCTGCTAATTCTGATTTCGAGCCTTAGCAGTTTTGGTCATGGGGTTAAGTTTTTTTTTATTAGTTGTTCTCTAAAGTATAAGATATTACACGCTTTTTTATTTCAAATTAGAACTTATATAAGATGAGCCTACATAAGAAGTTTCATTATTTACCATGCCCAAGTTTAAGGGTTAGGTATACGTTACCTATATGAACAAGCTTTGCTCTTGGTTGATGATAACAATGGAACACATGTCAATAAAACCCAATGAATTATTATAGATATTGATTTATAAAGAACAAGTCATGAAACTTTGTTCAGTATCGTTGTATACAAGAAGCCGGTCAAAACTTTCGTTCATATTCGTAGATACTTATTAAGTTTAAGTTGAAAATGTGGAAAGCCTCCTCAGAGATTCGAACTCTGGACCCCTGGTTTACTAGACCAGTGCTCTAACCACTGAACTAAGGAGGCACCCAAAAAAAAGCTTGCGCAATAGAAATGTAAACAAATGTTTCAAAAAACGTATTTTGCAGGTAAATTTTTTCACGGCGATTATTAAATGCGTAATGATCACAAATATTTAAGTCTTTTACTCACCCTTACCATACACAGTTAAAAAAAATCAAGCCTGATCAGAGAGTTGAACTTTGGACCCCTGGTTTACGAGACCAGTGCTCTAACCACAGAGCTAATAAGGCACACCTGTAATACTTTTGAAAAAGGTAAAATGAATCATCGGCGAAAAATAGTTATTCCTGCCAAGCTAAACCTAAAAGGAAAAATATTAGTGTTAAATTTTGGTCGATCAATTCTGTAGCTTTCACAAACACCGTTACTGAGATTATCTTGTAACGATGGCAATGGTAATCATACGGTGATATGATAGTTGAAAATGTTACAGTGTTATTTTTGAGTTACAAATTATTCTTGGGTTATGAAAAATGTGCCACGCACTATAAAAAAGTCGCACGAATTCATTTTCCTGATGTTCAGTACTTGTATATGATGATTGACAAGGTCTTCATTGTTGACATGCCTACAACGTCTACATTTATTCATACTAGATCTCCTCCTTGCATGTATATTGATAGGATTGATGCTGCATGGGAAAAGTTTTATCGGGAGATTGCAACTTGAGTTCAACACTGCTTTTTTCTTAAAAGCTAAGAAAGAAACTCAATCGCGCAAAAATTTCAAGTTATGAGGGCAATCAGGGCTTGCACGGGAATCGAACCCGTGACCTCTCGCACCCAAAGCGAGAATCATACCACTAGACCAGCAAGCCACACCTGGGAATTAGTTCATTATCTTTCGGTGTAATTTTAAAAAAATCCGGTATATTACATGAAAAACTAAGGTTCAAGAGACTTCCGTTAATTCGTGCGGAAAGCATCCCATTTTGCTGTTGAAAACAAGCCTATAAAAAAGCAATAATTTCTGAATAGAAGTCCCTTTGACAAGAGGTAATTACGTTTTAGTCCAAATCACCATGTTTATTTACATTATTTTTTTGTAACCGAATGGGAATGCATAAATTTGCGTTAAAAGGGTATAACATTAACCATTTCACATCAAGTATTAGAAATTTTAACTGCTCTGACTGGTATTTTTTAAAAAATGAAAAAAAATATTATGTCGTATGTTTTGAAACGAAATTCCACCTTGTGGCAAACAATTTCTCCGTGTTACATGAACATCTTTCGGACTATCAAGAGTCGTAGTCGTAGGATTTAAACCTGCGCGGGAATATCCCAAAAAATTTCAAGTCTGACGCCTTAACCACTCGGCCACGATTACATAATTGGTTAGGAGTCGCTCATTTTGCTTTAAGACGGATAGCTTGGAACTTACCTTTTTAGTTTACCACAGATTTTACGTTGTGGGCACATTAATAGGTTCTCTGGAATTGGTACGCCTTCCCAACTGCTTTTCAATTGCCAGCAGAATTTTGGAATTATAATAAGACTGAAAAAAAAGCAAAGGGTCTCGTGGAACTCGCTGTGACGGTTGGCGGAAGCTTTTATCATAGCAATTGATTATTGATAGAAAGCAGGCAGTTCACAGGGTGTGTAAATAATCATGCATCAGTGATTGAGCATTCAGCAGCATATCCGAGACAGCAATTCAACTGCAATCAATGGCTGCTAATTCTGATTTCAAGCCTTAGCAGTTTTGGCCCTGGACGTTAAGTTTTTATTTTTATTAGTTGTTCTCTACAGTATAAGATATTACACGCTTTTTTATTTCAAATTAGAACTTATATAAGATGAGCCTACACAAGAAGTTTCATTATTTACCATGCCCAAGTGTAAGGGTTACGTACGTTACCTATGTGAACAAGCTTTGCTCTTGGTTGATGATAACAATAGAACACAATAAAATACAATGAATTAGTATAGAAATCAAATACTTATTGAGTTTAGGTGGAAAATGTGAAGAGCCTCGTCAAAGATTCGAACTCTGGGCCCCTCGTTTACAAGGCTAGTGCTCTAACCACTGAGCTAAAGAGGCATGCACGCGTAAAAAACATGCGTGGACACTGTCTATATAATTACATTGATGCAAAATCCTAGCGCACAATCTTTGTATGAGGTTGATACGTAGATTAAGTTGAGAGAGTGCATCCAATGTTTGAACGAGAACACGTACCACATTTTTTTCTCAAGAAAATACAACATAATTAGACCATCAACGAATTGTTGTCAAGGGCCGTTCTCTTCAGTTCAGGCAAGAGAGGCGAACTGGGCTTGCACGGGAATCGAACCCGTGACCTCTCGCACCCTAAGCGAGAATCATACCACTAGACCAGCAAGCCAAGTGCAGAACACGGGAAGTTTTCTTTTTCGCATATTTCAACGCTCACAATAAAGGCGATGTATAGCATGCATGCATGGAAAATATAAAAATCTTTTCATGTCATATTTATTACAAGCCAAGTTACATTGAGTGAAAAAAGACTTGTAGGTATCTTAAATCATTGTTAGTACCGAGAGCAGACAAACAGGAGCAATGGTAGAAAAAAGACGATTTTTTTTAAACACGATAACAAACTAGGTTTTAACCCTAGAGTCTAGAACAACGGAATTGGTTTCATTCAGTTCTAAACATTTTTACCACGGAGCTGAACTATGAGGCTACACAAGAAGTTTCATTATTTACCATGCCCAAGTTTAAGGTGTAGGTACTTACCTATATGAACAAGCTTTGCTATTGGTTGATGATTACAATAGAACACAATAAAACACAATGAATTATTATAGATATTGATTTATAAAGATTAAGTCATGAAACTTTGTTCAGTATCGTTATATACAAGAAGCCGGTCAAAACACTCGTTCATGTTCGTAGATATTTATTAAGTTTAAGTGGAAAATGTGGAAAGCCTCCTCAGAGATTTGAACTCTGGGCCCCTGGTTCACTAGACCAGTGCTCTAACCACTGAGCTAAGGAGGCACCCAGAAAAAAAGCTTGCGCAAATAGAAATGTAAACAAAATAAATAGTTTCAAAAAACGTATTTTGCAGGTAAATTTTTTCACGGCGATTATTAAATGCGTAATGATCACAAATATTTAAGTCTTTTACTCACCCTTACCATACACAGTTAAAAAAATCAAGCCTTATCAGAGAGTTGAACTCCGGACCCCTGGTTTACGAGACCAGTGCTCTAACCACTGAGCTAATAAGGCAAACCCGTAATACTTTTGAAAAAGGTAAAATGAATCATCGGCGAAAAATAGTTATTCCTGCCAAGCTAAAACTAAAAGGGAAAATATTAGTGTTAAAGTTTGGTCGATCAATTCAGTAGCTTTCACTAACACAGTTAATGAGATTTCTGTAGACGATGGCAATGGTAATCATACGGTGATATGATAGTTGAAAATGTTACATGTTATTTTTTAGTTACAAATTATTCTTGGGTTATGAAAAATGTGCCACGCACTATAAAAAAGTCACACGAATTCATTTTCCTTATGTTCAGTACTTGTATAATTATGATGATTGACAAGGTCTTCATTGTTGACATGCCTACAACGTCTACATTTATGCATACTAGATCTCCTCCTTGCATGTATATTGATAGGATTGATGCTGCATGGGAAAAGCCACTGAGCTAATAAGGCAAACCCGTAATACTTTTGAAAAAGGTAAAATGAATCATCGGCGAAAAATAGTTATTCCTGCCAAGCTAAAACTAAAAGGGAAAATATTAGTGTTAAAGTTTGGTCGATCAATTCAGTAGCTTTCACAAACACCATTAATGAGATTATCCTGTAGACGATGGCAATGGTATTCATACGGTGATATGATAGTTGAAAATGTTACAGTGTTATTTTTGAGTTACAAATTATTCTTGAGTTATGAAAAATGTGCCACGCACTATAAAAAAGTCGCACGAATTCATTTTCCTGATGTTCAGTACTTGTATATGATGGACTTTGCTGGCCCCCTTCTCTACAGAGATAACCGAAAGTCAACGAGCAAGGCTTACGTTGCTCTTTACACCTGCTCTACGACAAGAGCCGTTCATCTGAAGTTGAGCAAGAGCATGGACGCTGACGAATTCAAGAAAGGGTTTAAAGAGTTCGTTGCTAGTTGCGGTACACCAAACAAGATCGTGAGTGATAATGCGTTAACCTTAAAAGCGACCAAACAGTGGCTAGACAGTCTTACTAAGGATACGGACTTGTTTAACTACCTAAACGACGCAGAGGATAACTTGGCAATTTAATTTGTCTAGAGCCCCCTGGTGGGGTGGCTTCTTCGAGAGGCTTGTCGGGATAATGAAATCCAGTTTAGCAACTCCTAATGAGGGAAATAACGATAAGCAAGGCGCTAGTGAGAGACCTTCGAGAGCAGCGAAAGTAACGGCAAGAAATCGTATAGTCGGAATTGTAATGAACGAAGAAGAAGAGGAATGAAACGAAGGACGATGAGTGACATTAAAGCTGTCAGCCAGGACACTTTAATGGGGGAGGGTGTTAGAAACTGTGAGACAGCGCGGGAGCTGGGATTGACATTTATAGTGAAATTATGTTAATTCATGGAAGAGAACAATAACATGTGCTTTTGTCATTTTTGAACATGGAGCGAGCGAGTGAGATCAGAAGAAAACCTTTGTATATTATTATGTTTATAAATATGTTTAACAAAACGAAGTGAATCATTCAGTGTCTCTGGGACCATTCCTCACATGGGAAAAGTTTTTGTCGAAGATATGTGAACATTCCAGTGACACATATATAGTTCAGTACTCTTAGCGCATGCGCGCAAAGTGGAGAACATGTGTTCCGCTAACGACAATAGAATTCTAGTTTACATGTTTCACGTTTGTACTATTTCTATCGATCTAATCCACGAAATAAAACAAAGTTATCAAATCCTTTCCGTCATATATATTATACTCTACATAATTTGGTGCCGTGACCAGGATTATGGCGGAAAATCTACAAAAATTGCAAGCATCACGAGCGGGCTATCGAGCCCATTTGACACAAACAATCAAGAAGGCGGCAAATATTCTAACGAAAGAGGATTCTCTAACGGACAGTGATATTACATCGATAAAGCGAATCATTGATCAATTGACTCGGAAAAGGTCGATTCTGGAAGAACTGGACGAAAAAATCGTAGCGTTGGTCGAAGAACCGAAAGAACTCGAGAAAGAAATATTCCAATCTGAAGACATCAAAGAAGAAATTGACGAGACAATAGCACAGATAAGTAGCACTATTGAACGCTTTCAATCAACTAAGTTGTCTCCGAGTAACCCTCCCTCTGAAGTACCTCAAGTAGTCGTAGAAAATGCAAGAGATCAAACCTCCTCAACATCCGTCAACACAAATGATCAAACACACTCGGGGACCCCTAATGAGATTGCTCAACAAGAGACTGTCCCCCCTCCTACAGAGACTCAATTACAAATAGAAACCCCAGTTGTTACACCAGTACTTCCAACAACCCCACCATCAACTACCCCCCATCACCCTAGCCCTCTCAATCAAAATAGTCGTTTACCAAAATTAAACCTTCCAACATTTTCTGGGAACCCACTACAGTGGTTTACATTCTGGGACTCATTTGAAGCCACAGTCCACACCAATCCAACCCTAGGGGATGTACAAAAGTTTAGTTATCTTAAGGCCCAACTGGTGGGGGATGCATCAAGAGCTATTACAGGGTTTCCCCTTACAAATCACAACTATACCAAAGCTGTCCAACTCCTAAAGGAAAGATTCGGTGACCCAACCAAAGTGATTAATGCGCACATGCACTGTTTACTTGAATTGCCAAACCCCAACTATGAACTAGCAAGTTTACAACTATTCTATGACACAATGAAGAACCACATCAGGGGTTTGGAATCTCTTGGAAAATCCCACAGCAATTATGGAGACCTCCTAGTCCCAATCATTCTGGGGAAATTGCCACAGCAAGTCCGAACAAACTTGGCCCGCGACCATGACAGTCATGAATGGAAATTTACACAACTAAGAGAATCTATTCGTAAAGAAATAAGAATTCTAGAAGCTGGTGCTCATTCCAGCCTCATGCAAGCCAAACTACCATCACCTAAACACACAACAGCGGGTTCATTTCTAACACAAACACAAGGGAACCAGCATTATACCACCAAGCACAAGCCAGGAAATGTCATAAAACGATGTGCCTACTGCAAAGGACCACACCCTACCCACAACTGTAATGTTGTAAAGGATTGTCAAGAGAGATGGTCAATAGTAAAAAGGGAAAAACTGTGTTTCAATTGCCTGGGAAATCACAAATCATCTAACTGCCAATCAAAATTCCGTTGTCTGAAATGTAAGAGTAAACACCATACTACCCTATGTCCCCAATCAACAACACCACCTCCTCCCCCTACATTTACACCCCAACCACCACCTCCTCCCCCTACATTTCCACCCCAACCTTCCCTCCCTACTCCTCAAAACACACAAAGCAATCCTCAGGTTCCCTCCTCTATGGCAAATACACAACAATCAACATCTACCCATGCAACCCTTGTCCCATCCACCCATTCCGCAACAGTACGGCATGTTTCCCTCCTAAAAACAGCAATTGCAACTGTCAGCACAGGGCAACTAACATGTGACGCCAATATCCTTCTTGATGAAGGAGCTCAACGGTCCTTTATTACCACCGATCTAACGAAGCAACTCGGAGTTTTGCCCACCCAAACAGAGGAAATTTCACTATCAGCCTTTGGTGCCCAAACCCCATCTAGACGTCACCTCCCATTGAC